CTCATTCATCATCTTCACGTTAGCGCTATGAAAGCTGAGAATTCGAAGGTCACCAAGAGACGACTCTGTCCACAAACATTCGAGCTAATACGCCAGCGTGGATTCGCACGAGCTGCAGGCAACCGCCAACTAACGTCCGAACTTGCAAAACAATGCCAACAGGCGATAAAAGAAGATCTTAAAAAAAGAAGAGCAGCAGTTATGGTCGAAGCTTCAGAGGCTGGGAAAAGCATTCGTAAAGCCTACCGAAGCCTCGCCATTTACGAAACCAAGATGATTGTACTCCAACGCCCAAACGGAACAGTTACAGCGTCCAGAAATGCAGTGGAGAAAATCATTCACGAATACTATTCAAATCTCTTCAATAGTAACGTCCTCCTTTCATACGAAATAAAGGAGGACGGATATGTTGTACCAACGGTTTTCCCTTCCGAAATCCGACATGCTATTTGGTCGGTTAAAAATCGAACAGCACCAGGTCCCGACATAATATAATCTGAACAGCTGAAGAACGTCCCGCTAGTTCTCATAAAAACACGAGCCCTGCTCTTCACATGTTACCTGTCCGAATGCAAGGTCCCTACTCAGTGGAAGACCAGCAAGACCGTGCTATTGTTGAAGAGGGATAATCTACACGATAAAGGCAACTACCGCCCAATCTGCTTGCTATCTGTCGTCAAACTTTCTGCTCGAGTCGTCCTAAGCAGGATTCACAGAACACTGGACGAAAGAGAACCATGCAAGTAAGCAGGGTTTCAAAAAGTGATCAGTACGATGGACCATATCCACGCGATAGCAGGACTGATCAAATTATTGCGAAAGTACAAAAGACCGCTCTATCTCACTTTCATTGATTCAAAGAAGGCCTTTGACCCAAGTGAGATAGAAGTAGTTATGAAAGCCGTTGATAGTCAGGGAGTCCTTACTCAGTATATAAAGAATCTTCGTGATCTATACAAAGATTTCACAACAAAGATATCAGATATCACCATTCTACAACGATGTTCACATCGACGTCAGAAGAAGTGTTAGGCCAGGCGGTACCATATCACCAAAATTATTTACCGCCATCCTCTAGAACGTCATGAGAGCATTGGAATGGGACAGGATGAGAGTGAAAATCGATGGTCGGCAATTACAGCAACTTCGCCTTGCTGATGATTAGCCAAGCGGAACGTATGCTTGCCGATTTTGGTAAAGCCTATGGAAACATCGGTCTTCGGCTAAATATCATAAAAACGGCGTTCATGAAGAATGGATTGGTTTCGTATGCCTCATTCACGCTCAACGGAACGAATATGTCCGAATGCTCCAGTTATATCTATCTAGGCTGGGAAATCAATATGATGAACGACCTAGCTCCAGAGCTGAGCAGAAGGAAACGAGCGGCTCGGAGAGCATATAGGAGCATCGAGGATGTAGTGAAGAGAACAAAGAACACCAGACTCTGTGCCCACCTTTTTGACTCAACCGCGCTTCCTCTCTTAACGTATGCGTCAGAAACCTGGTCGCTGCGTACGTAGGATGAAAGACCATTCAGCGCTATTGAACGCACAGTTGAAAGGACGATGCTTGAAGTATCTTGTGTCACACAGGTAAGGAAAGGGATACGGAGCTCCTCGCTATGTCAGCGATCAAAAACCAAAGATACCATTTTGTATGTCAAACAGTCAAAGATTAGGTGGGCCGGACACATAATAAGTATGAACGACTACCGATAGACAAGAGCCGTTAGTGATTGGATTCCTCAGGATGTCATGCACACTATAGGAAGACCACCGATGCGATGGTCAGAGTTCTTCACGAAAGGCCTAAAAGAAAGATTTGGTGCTCAACGAGTCCCTAGAGGTAGGAGAACCCAGTGGGCTATTCTTGCACACGACAGGGAAAAATGTAAGGTTTAATGGCGCCGGCTCGAGTCATTCGACGATCAATGGGACTCCAGGTGTTAAAGGTGACGCACAAGCGATTGTTCAAAACCGAACGCTTTATCTCCTGCTTTATTCTTATCAACCAATTAACCAACACAGTAGTTGTCTGTCGGCTAGTTTATTTCGTAATCCAACAATCTCCATATGCGGAGCTTTCTTATAAACATGAGCGTTTAATTCGAATATCTATCTTGTAGATCGGTCTGCTAAGGACGTTTGGTTACTTTTACGGTCCGCTCCACCCATCTGCACTGCTCCTTTCTTGTAATGTAATCGACAAGTCTATTTTTTTCTTGAAGTATATTTGCAACCCTTTTGTAAATCCTAGACCTTTGCTTACAATATACATGGCGGAAAAGTCATAAAAAGGATAAAGGATGAAGATCTGGGCGTTGATCAATCCCTGAGAGATACACCATGCATTCGGTTTCATTAGAGATGGTTGGAGGTAACTGAAAGCACGTTTATCCTTTACAATGGTTCACGGTGCCCTACCGATGTATCGAGTCGGTGCTGCTATCCTCTTCGACAGGTCTGGTACCAGTTTGCCGAACACGGAGGTATACAAGGTTTGGTGAGTCTGGGGCGTAGGTGTCGACCGTATATACATTGCAGGGTACCTCTAACCACGACGCTACATGCGCTCACGGAAAACTAATACACAGTTCAATTCTCGAATGTCATGTACCAGATCAAACTTAGGAATGATCACTGAAACCAAAATTGCTTTTGTGTAAATTTTTCATATGGAGAAGGCTGCTTGAAGAATCGTCGAACAGATCAAATCTTGCTAGACCCAAATCGTTATTGACAGCTTTTCTAAAACGATCTAGGCCTATCCGTCCTCTATTTCTCATTCTATTAATTAATCACTTACCATCTAGTTATTTGGAAGACTCATCTTCTCGAGTTGAACATCTTCGTTCTTGCACATGTTTCAATAGCTCCTTAACCTCGCAGTCGTTGTCCTTGGTGGTGGTTTAAATCAAATGTGACAACGAGTGCGGGTCCATCTCTAAAACAACTTTGGTTACGAACACATATGCCCAAAGTGTAGGTGGTCGTCCTTGTTGACGATTGCGTACCTGGGTTAAGATATGTGCCTATGTTTCGACGAACGTGAACAGTAGTGTAAAAATATTAAACAAGATCTGGTTACGTTGTAGCCGCAGAGAACTGTTATTCCACACAGCCACACCAAAAAATAATTAACCTCCTTCATCAGCCAACTAGTACCCAGGCAACTGAACTTTTATCCAGGTGGGAATCTCGGACGGATGAGTGAACTCATAGGTACCGTTGTGAAACGGATGTGAGTTCACGAGATGGTTACTCGTCTGTTCGTCTGAGAATTAAAAAATACTTTGCGTATCCACGTATATAATACATATTGTAGAGTGGGATGGAGATAATAAGGTGAGAGGCTCTCTGAGTTCACCATCGTAACATAGTTTAACCATGTCAATTCACATTTCCAGAGAAGCTGACATTAACCTTTGATGAAGAAGGCTTTTACGGACGAATGCCGTATAGAAATAGACCATATCATGCAAACCAAAAAATTCCTATTTCGCTATTTCTTCACAACGTACCAAAATTAAAATACAAAACCCAAGAACCAACATGATTTTAGATGAGTTCACCTTGTTGCTGGCTTCTCAAGAGATATTGTTGTCGACAATATTCAGCAATAATATGACGATCTCGTCAAAAAAATGCCAAGAGGTACAACAGCAATGATGCTGAGATATTTGCAAAAATCCCGACCGGAGTTGTCTGCGGTGGAGACCGAACACGCTTTTACTTTTCCGGAAGCTAACGTGTCCACCATTTCGCTATGCAAGTCCTTCGTTTCGCCTTTCTTTCTGCCGTGTTACCAATACCCAAGAAGATGACAGTTTAAAAACCATCAGCAGGCCCCTTCTCTGCGAATCATAGCTGGCACGCCAATTGACATTGTAGGAGCTATGCTCAATCACCTACGTACGTCTGCACTTGACAGGCTCAAAGAAGAAACGCGAAAAGACTTAAGGAAAAGAAGATTGGTATTGTCGGATAAAATTGCAGCGGTGGGAAGCATCACTTCACAAAATGCAATGTCGAGATGATCTGACTGAAGCACTGCAGAAGAAACAATCTGTTTCCAGAAAGCCAATGACGATGGTGTTCCAGGACTTTAATTCTTCCTCGACATCCACGTCCACGTTGGTTCACACAAGAACACATGAATATCTTAAAAAACCACTTCTAGTGATTATTAACTCATTCGCCCCTGTTTCCATACGTTATCTGCCAGTCTGTAGCGTTTCTATTCAATAGGAAAACGGTAAGACCATATTCTTACATAAACAAGAGAAATCAACTATACCTCGGAATGTATTACTTTGCTCACTTTACTTGATACTTGAACGGCTCGTCCTCACCGGTTATGCGGGTCCCAGCATAAACTCCAATTTTCGGTGGCTGGCTAAGCCACTGCGGTTTCCTGGAATCCTGAGGTCAGCCTAGCCAAAGTCTGCCCCAGGTCCTCACCACCTCAGGCAATCGCAGCCCTTGTGGATCAGAGGGAGATTTGCCACCATGTGACTTTGATACCAAGATGGTGGTGGTTCCTGGTATTGGTTTACTCTCAGTAAGGCTTCCCATTGGAAGGCCATTCAATTCCTAGAGATTCTTAGTGGCAAAACTGTTCTATTTGCAGGCCAACCTCCGACGGCAGTACTGAACAAGGTTAGTTGATAGATCTTGTAAAGTCGGCATAGTGTAGAGCGCTTTATTCTAAAATGGGGTTGTGATTTCCGTAACTGAGAAGTGGGGACGCAAGGGTGTAAAGCAGATTTTCACGTAGTTCGCTTTCTTCCTTGTACTGCATGTTACAATAGCGGTATAGCAACGGGATCTCCAAATGGCGCTAGTGTCAATAAAAAAGTGTGCTCGTTTTCTTTAATATCCTCTATATTTAACCTATTAAGGCTATAAAAAAAACGTTTACGTTAAATTCTTAAGCATAATGGTCTTTTTGGTGCTCGATTCAAGTCGAAATAATTGCAAGTTTAGGACGTGAAGTCGATGACGGCAGAGGGTACTGGGGAAGCAAACTTGAATTTGTTCTGGCCACTATCGGTCAAGCCGTTGGTCTTGGAAACATATGGCGATTTTCTGCAGTGGCTTACAATAATGGTGGAAGTAAGCGGGATGAACGAAGACAAACGCAACCACTTTGGTATTTCTGAGTGTGGATATATATTTACGAGCACCGTTTAAGGTGCATTTCTTATTCCATACATCACATTGGNAATGGAATGATATCTGTAAGTCAAATGTTTCAAACCATCTGGTCGAATAAGACTTAACATGGTTTATGTTCAGAATGGAAAAAGTAGGCAAAAATCCGCTGTTACAGATTGCGTAGTAAGAAGTAAAATGGATGAATGCAAACGTCAAGACCCTAGCCGTCCAGTTGCCTTCAACGGCACTTGCATTTCCACAATGCCGGAGCCGATGAGAAGCCCTTTCGATCAGTACTTCACGTAGGCTCCATTCTTTTTCTGAAGATTCTGGTAGAAATGAACACGGATGCAATTCTCGTATGAGGCTGCAGAAGCCATTCCCGACATTATTTTGTCAATCACGATGGTGCTTAACCGTTCGAGACAGACTTCATTTCCAAGTCCGACTTTCTATTAACCTCGGCATTGATTGAATATATCTTTCTACTTCTGTTCAGCAAAAACGAGATGCAATTTTTTTTCTTTATTTACGCACAAGCTGATGTTTCGGCGGATTTCGCCTTCCTCAAAACCTGGAAGGGTCAACTTGACAGCAATCCACTCGGCCAAACACCTCCATAACCAAACAGAGAAAACGCTAAACCAAGATTTCAATCACATTTAGCATAGCTCTGCACACTCACCGCTTCATGCAACCAGCTTGATTGTGTGCCGCAAATTTTTGTTTCTCAGCGAAAATTTTCTACACCAGGCCATCCGATCTGGGAATCATGCACGCTTCAGCTATTGTTGAAGTCGCTGCTTTAAAGTATCCTTTTTCGGTGAACATCACTTTTCAGAAATGTTATAACGAGAAGGTCGCAAGGGATTGAAGACATTACCGGAATGAATTGGCGGTCATTCTTAACATTGTTCGCTATGTGGGTGATCGTATTCCTGGTCTTGATAAAAGGACATAAGTATCTGGGAAAAGTTTCATATGTAAGAACTTCGGTTTTTTTTTGAGCTCTGTTTTGATCTCGAACTTATTATCATTCTTCAGTTTACTTCTACTGCCCCTTATATTCTCATTCTTATTCTGTTCTCCCGTGCCATAACTCTTGAAGGTTCCACTGACGGATTGTACTACTATTGGGGCAAACCGGACTTTTCGAAGCTTCTGAGGCACCAGGTTTCCTTCAACGTACTTCAATAAGTTATTGTGTTAATATCTCGACTTGTGTAGGAAGCCGTATGTTTATCAAAATTCTATCCTCTAGTAAAAAATTACAAAGTATTTGACTTCGGAGCTTTCTGAATTTGTTCGAAACCTTGGGAGTTTTCAAGAGAGTGGTTTCATGAAGCATGAGCACTAGTGAGAAATCGAAGAGCTTTAGCCAGTAAATGTGATTGTCTTCTCGTCTACAGACATGGACGGCAGCACTCATCCAGATATGCTTCTCCATAAATGTTGGCTACGGTTCCATTCTTATGCTCGCCTCATACAATAAACGAAACAACAACTGTTTTATAGTAAGTTATTGCGGATTAATAAGTTCTGTAGTAAAAACAAACTCGTGTTTGCTCATCAAGAAGAAGAGTGCTTTACGATCCGTAGAAATATCATTCCAATAGTAACTTTGACAAGCGCGTCGTGTCGTGTGTTATGTAGTAGAAAGCACTTCTAGCAGTGGTTGGTAATGTTTCCATAATCAACTAATCATCCTTTGACATTATCTGTTCAAGCATTTGTGGGTGTGTGCCTATATGGTGCCAGCTGTCCATCATTTCACTACGAATTTCAGCGATGTTAAAATAGCTTTATTAAGCCACATTTAGGATGCATGGATTGTTGTAACCGGTGACTTCCTCATGAGTGTATTCGGAGGTGCAACCGTATTTGCTACGCTTGGTTACCTTTCTTACCAGCTTAAAAAGCCTATTGAGGAAGTGGTTTCTAGCGGTTGGTGACATGCATGCTTGTTCTGTTATTTATGATGGCGGAATTCTCGAACTGGGAGCTTTCGGTTGGGAGGTCGTAAACAATTAAGATGTGGCATCAAACTGTGATTGCTACGAAGCCTGTGTTATGGTTAAAAATGGATATTATTGCTATCAATGCCACTGCCGATGTGCTATGTTTTATAGGGGTTGTGGTTTTTTTTTTACTACCGGACTACATTTCAGGACATTCGTTGGCTTTCGTAGCTTATCCGGAGGCGATATCAAAGATGCCGTATCCAATGGTTTGGTCCGTATTTTTCTTCAGCATGCTTTTCCTGCTAGGTATTAGTTCAGAAATCGGTAGGTGAACTTGAATTCGTGATAGATACCGAGGAACCTTCTTTTTAACAATTTATTTCAGCACTCACTGAAACTTTATGCACAAGCATATACGATCAGTGGACATCTACTCGGAAATGTAAATGGCTCATATCACTGTCCTGCTGTGGATCGTTGTTCTTATGCGGCATCGTATTAACCACTGATGTTGGTACACTGTTTAACACAGCATTGATTGTTCTCTTCGATATCTAGCAGAACCACTGCCGTATATATTCAAGCAGTTTCGCATTCCGATCGCCTATGAACGGAAAATGTCGCTGAAGATACGTTATGTAATTCAAAGACAACTGCCCCAGAAATGTGGCCAACTTTGCTCCCTGGGAGTAATACGAATAGCTGTCATCATAAAAGTCTTGTGGCTTTGCTGTAGCGAAAATCAAGGGTAGTCCATTTCATATCACTAGAACAAGAAATGCACGGCTGGAATTCGTTGGATAGAAAAAGAACAATTGGCAGCGCAACTAATTTCCGTCCAGTTCCCTCAATGATCGTTGAGTGGCGAATGTGAGACATTGGCTTACATAACGGTATAACAGTAATATGGAGGTAAAAGACTGCGAAGTGACATCATTGAGAAGTTATTTCCCTATTACCTTAACGTAGAAGCATTCAAGCGGTGCTTGTAGAATGAAGTATGGCAAACTGATTCTCTCAGTTTGTAGAGCGCGAGTGGCTTTACCTATGATCTGTTCTTACAGAGCGGCTTTTTTTGGTTCACAATATTCGACAGCTATTCTGCTTCGACAGCTGCATGTGCTGTAATCATTGCCGAGATGATTATAATTATGCATGTTTACGGTGAGAGGGTAGAACAACCTAGCATTCTAACTAAGAATGACGAAAAAATAAAAACTTTATCTCTCCTACCGTAAGATTTCTGATTCTTTCAACAGAGGGTATCTTAAAAGTGGTTAGAAGCCACAACTGGCTTGGGTTACTGAAAGGAATAAAGGAGAAATTCAAATATTCTGTGAGACCACGTATTCTTCCCAACAGTTTACCGCCTCATCGTAGCTGGGAGTTGTTCCAAGGTATCGCGCTGCCATGTACAGCAGTGGAATCATCCTACCGGCAGAGCCTCCCAAGCTGAGAAGGAGTGCGGCTTTTCCGTGAGGAAGCCCAGCTAAGACTAAAGGATGCACCTCCATCCTGGTATGGAATTAGCCTCATGGTGGCAAATCTCGCTCTGGTCTACAAGGGAGGCGACTACCTATGATGGCGACGACCTCAGGCAGACTTTGGCCAGGATGACCTCGGGATTCCAGTGAACCACAACGGCTAAGCCAGAAAAACTCCGATAAATGGAGATTACGCTGAAGCCGGCACAACGACTGAGAAAATGCCGTCTAAGTGTTCAAGTATCTAACTGAGACCATGTATTCAATGTGACACGCTAACTGTTTTCGTCGTCTGAGTGACCCTTGAGAAAATGCCCTACGGTAAAAATATTGCGAGAAAATGTGCTAAGCCTAGAACAAGTCACCATTAATGTTCGTAGTTAATCAATGCCGAGTTAATTCACTTTTGTACTCCTATTCAAGTTGATTTTCTTGTAAGCGAGTGTTTTGCGCATTAGAGCTCATTTTAACACAGTAGCTCGTCGCTTCGCGACGCCATCCTTTCGTTTACTTTTTAGGACACAAGAACCTTTTCGATGACTTATACGAGATGATGGGCACACCGAATCAGACCTCGTCATTTTTCGGACCATTATCTCCTTTCTGGAGGTTTACCTGGATAGTTACAGCTCCACTTCTGGGTTTTGTTCGTTTTTGCATTCATTGTTTCCAGTCTTCGGATTGAGAGAATACAAACCGACTTGATTTTATTACCAGGCATTAACAATTTTCGTGAAATGTCTCACTAGTAACTTCTTTCATAGTTTGTGCAGTGTGGCTTCAGAGAAAAATATTAACTCTTTCTCTCTGAGCATTCACGCATTAGCAGAAGGAGACCACAGACTTCGTTGGTTCCATGAAACTCTTTGGCTCCAGCCTTGGCATATTATCTTATTTTTAATGTTTTAAATAATCGTCTGCTTTCCGGCTACTATTCCGTTTTCGATTTCAATATTACGTCGATATAATTCAGGTGGTCATGATTTTCACGCTAATCCGAGATGAAATTACCATAGGGACTGCGAAAGGAGGCTACGTATTCCCGAATTGGGCTCATGTTAGCTTTAAATCATTTCATTGTGGTAGAATCGGAATAATTTCTTCAGGCTATTGGAAAGTGACACGAAGCGAACGATACCTGTTTTCAGGCATTTGGATGGTTTCTGGCTCTTTGCCCATTTCTTGCTTTTCCAATCTGCTTCGCAATAAACTACTTGGAGTGGGTTAATAAAGGAAAGGTTAGTTTTCTACATGCTTCGCCTAGTTCCTATTTATTCTACACTTTCCTAGCCTTTCCGCACATTGTTCACCATACAACCGACATTGCCGTCGTACAAGAGAATAACGGGCGAACTGTTACCAAGTCGTGAAGGCGGCGTATCCGATTCGAAAACGAAAACGAGCACCGAGTCGAAAACGAAGACAAAATCCACGGAGAGAGTAGAAGCTCCTGCTGCTGAGATCTAATGCGAGAAACCAGCGAATTGCAACTATGCCTGTGTATGATTTCCAATATTGTGTATATTCGTAGCAAATAACGTCATACAAATCTAGTGCAATAAACTTGTTTCTATATGTCGCTTAAAGCAGCATTAAGCATTGGTGAAGAAAAATTGGATGGCCTTAGAACATGTAGAAAGCGAATGTAATCCATGAGTGGTTCTCGATTTACTGCTGATTTGCATATTGAGAGCGATGGTTATGTTATTAACTGAATGGATAGCCGAACAGCTGGTGGTGAAACAACTGGTTTGTCAGATAAATGTTTTTTTTGCTACACTGGCTACAATGCGAGACCCATAACGATTGTACGTGCGCAAATAGATCTTTACGTAAATAATGGAACGATGTTAACCTCTGTTTTCATTGATGAGCAAACTCGGCGTTGGCATATAGCTGAAGCGTGCATGATTCCCAGATCGGATGGCCTGGAGTAGAAAATTTTCGCTGAGAAACAAAAATTTGCGGCACACAATCAAGCTGGTTGCATGAAGCGGTGAGTGTGCAGAGCTATGCTAAATGTGATTGAAATCTTGGTTTAGCGTTTTCTCTGTTTGGTTATGGAGGTGTTTGGCCGAGTGGATTGCTGTCAAGTTGACCCTTCCAGGTTTTGAGGAAGGCGAAATCCGCCGAAACGTCAGCTTGTGCGTAAATAAAGAAAAAAAATAGCATCTCGTTTTTGCTGAACAGAAGTAGAAAGATATATTCAATCAATGCCGAGGTTAATAGAAAGTCGGACTTGGAAATGAAGTCTGTCTCGAACGGTTAAGCACCATCGTGATTGACAAAATAATATCGGGAATGGCTTCTGCAGCCTCATACGAGATTTGCATCCGTGTTCATTTCTACCAGAATCTTCAGAAAAAGAATGGAGCCTACGTGAAGTACTGATCGAAAGGGCTTCTCATCGGCTCCGGCATTGTGGAAATGCAAGTGCCGTTGAAGGCAACTGGACGGCTAGGGTCTTGACGTTTGCATTCATCCATTTTACTTCTTACTACGCAATCTGTAACAGCGGATTTTTGCCTACTTTTTCCATTCTGAACATAAACCATGTTAAGTCTTATTCGACCAGATGGTTTGAAACATTTGACTTACAGATATCATTCCATTCATTACTACAACTTGCCCATAGTTCCAATCCACCGGTAGCGGCTGACGACAAATACATGAAAATCCACGAAACTACCAGGCAATAGTAGATGCAGATAGTAACCCCTACACATGTCATCGACCATCCGACGCCTAAAATATTCCTTAGTAGAGTGCGAAGATAAGCAGAAGTGGTAGTGGATATCGTGCACACGTTTCGCATCCATGCCAATGCGGATACTCGGCCACACATACCTTGCAGGGCTGGTATGTAATGCCTGAAGACTGTAGATGGACCACTGCTCGTGTACTGACCGATAGCCATTTCGAGATACATTGTTGGGAGCCCGAAGAATATTACCAATGTGATGTATGGAATAAGAAATGCACCTTAAACGGTGCTCGTAAATATATATCCACACTCAGAAATACCAAAGTGGTTGCGTTTGTCTTCGTTCATCCCGCTTACTTCCACCATTATTGTAAGCCACTGCAGAAAATCGCCATATGTTTCCAAGACCAACGGCTTGGCCGATAGTGGCCAGAACAAATTCAAGTTTGCTTCCCCAGTACCCTCTGCCGTCATCGACTTCACGTCCTAAACTTGCAATTATTTCGACTTGAATCGAGCACCAAAAAGACCATTATGCTTAAGAATTTAACGTAAACGTTTTTTTTATAGCCTTAATAGGTTAAATATAGAGGATATTAAAGAAAACGAGCACACTTTTTTATTGACACTAGCGCCATTTGGAGATCCCGTTGCTATACCGCTATTGTAACATGCAGTACAAGGAAGAAAGCGAACTACGTGAAAATCTGCTTTACACCCTTGCGTCCCCACTTCTCAGTTACGGAAATCACAACCCCATTTTAGAATAAAGCGCTCTACACCATGCTGACTTTACAAGATCTATCAACTAACCTTGTTCAGTACTGCCGTCGGAGGTTGGCCTGCAAATAGAACAGTTTTTCCACTAAGAATTTCTAGGAATTGAATGGCTTTCCAATGGGAAGCCTTACTGAGAGTAAACCAATACCAGGAACCACCACCATCTTGGTATCAAAGTCACATGGTGGCAAATCTCCCTCTGATCCACAAGGGCTGCGATTGCCTGAGGTGGTGAGGACCTGGGGCAGACTTTGGCTAGGCTGACCTCGGGATTCCAGAAAACCACAGTGGCTTAGCCAGTCACCGAAAATTGGAGTTTATGCTGGGACCCGCATAACCGGTGAGGACGAGCCGTTCAAGTATCAAGTAAAGTGAGCAGAGTAATACATTCCGAGGTATAGTTGATTTCTCTTGTTTATGTAAGAATATGATCTTACCGTTCTCCTATTGAATAGAAACACTACAGACTGGCAGATAACGTATGGAAACGGAGGCGAATGAGTTAATAATCACTAGAAGTGGTTTTTTGAGATATTCATGTGTTCTTGTGTGAACCAACGTGGACGTGGATGTCGAGGAAGGATTAAAGTCCTGGAACACCATCGCCATTGGCTTTCTGGAAACAGATTGTTTCATCTGCAGTGCTTCAGTCAGATCATCTCGACATTGCATTTTGTGAAGTGATGCTCCCCACCGCTGCAATTTTATCCGACAATACCAATCTTCTTTTCCTTAAGTCTTTTCGCGTTTCTTCTTTGAGCCTGTCAAGTGCAGACGTACGTAGGTGATTGAGCATAGCTCCTACAATGTCAATTGGCGTGCCAGCTATGATTCGCAGAGAAGGGGCCTGCTGATGGTTTTTAAACTGTCATCTTCTTGGGTATTGGTAACACGGCAGAAAGAAAGGCGAAACGAAGGACTTGCATAGCGAAATGGTGGACACGTTAGCTTCCGGAAAAGTAAAAGCGTGTTCGGTCTCCACCGCAGACAACTCCGGTCGGGATTTTTGCAAATATCTCAGCATCATTGCTGTTGTACCTCTTGATATTTTTTTTTGACGAGATCGTCATATTATTGCTGAATATTGTCGACAACAATATCTCTTGAGAAGCCAGCAACAAGGTGAACTCATCTAAAATCATGTTGGTTCTTGGGTTTTGTATTTTAATTTTGGTACGTTGTGAAGAAATAGCGAAATAGGGATTTTTTGGTTTGCATGATATGTTCTATTTCCATACGGCATTCGTCCATAAAAGCCTTCTTCATCAAAGGTTGATGTCAGCTTCTCTGGAAATGTGAATTGACATGGTTAAACTATGTTACGATGGTGAACTCAGAGAGCCTCTCACCTTATTAGCTCCATCCCACTCTACAATATGTATTATACGTGGATACGCAAAGTATTTTTTAATTCTCAGACGAACAGACGAATAGTCATTGTCTATGGCACACGAATGCCTCAGAAAACTGCGCTTAGTCATTATTAGCACATTTGTCCCCGTTTTTATACGCTACCTGTCGTTATGTTGTAATGATTCTGTTCAGCAGAAGATCAATTTGGCCATAACCGAAATAAGGAGAACTAGACTATACCTTGAAAAATACTACTCTGTTTATTTTGCGTTTGAGCAGAGTTCATAAATCAACAACGAAGCACAGCTATGTTAGTAAGCAGTTTTTTAAAAGGTTGCGGTTAATGAATCATTTCCAGTCAACTATAAATTGACATGACTACTGTTTGGGTACATAACATCGCTACGTCTCACTTTATGGACACATCGGTTGCCGATTAAGTGATGGCAAAAACAATCGTGTAAGCGATTAAGACAGAGCTTCATAGTCAGTGTAGAAGGATGAGTTATACGACAGCTGACAACGAGAACTGCACCATACTGCAAAGACACAATCAAGGATGTAAGGAATGCTGTTCCACTGAATGGAGCATTGTACACCATCTTTGTTCAGCCATGATGCACCAAAACATTTGTCTTATAATATCAGCAATTAGTCCAACGGAATCAATGCTGGTCTTATAAGAAAATCTTGTTCGTGAGAAAAGAGATGGCTACTCGTGCTACATCCAGACTCAAAAGAAAAGTGTCACTGAATGATACATGTCCACCATCTATCGGGTTAAGAAAGCCGAATGAAGGACGGTGATAAGGTTTAGCAGCAGGAACGTCTCACCTTGAAGACTTAGAAAGATCGAGTGTATTGTGAAAAGCGCAAAAAACTTGCTATGTCACAACCTATAGCTACCTCACGGCTTCCCTACCCCAGTGTTCTTCTCGGAAAAGCCGGATGTTGCGTAAACAGAAGAGATAATTGAACGCTATCAATTCTTTATATTCTTCTTTAGGATACACGAGGTGCTATTATTTCTTTATTTACCCACAAGATGACGTTTCGGCGGATTTTGCCTTCCTCAGAGCATGGGAAGGTCGTTGAATCTACCTAGCCAAACACCTCCATAACCAAACAGAGAAACCGCTAAACCAAGATTTCAATCACATTGAACACAGAATAGCTTCTTTTCACACTCACCGCTTTCTATGAGTCTTCCACTGAGTATGTCGTGTGGAGACCAACCGCACAGAAATCACATGGAAGCGTAATGTGCTCCTCCCATCAGAATAACTAGTTTGCGTACTGCCCAATATCAAGCGTTATTATGAGGCATTCCTCCTTGCGGTTAATTTTCGGATGTTTGGAATTAATCCAGAAAGTCTCGAGAGCTTAGGGCGCTCGTGTCTTCGATTCCTATGCGAGGATCGTAACCTCTACTTTAAAATCCTCCCCGCTATGTTTCTGCGTCCTGTGGGAGCCTGTGGAGCAATGTGTTTAAGTTTACCGACTATGTGCTCTTTTATACGGACGCAGAGTGGTCTGCCGATTTCGCCAATATATTCGTCTCCTCACGCTTTACAGGAGATCAGGTAGACTGTACCGAGCTCATGCAATCACCGTTCCTGCCATTAGGGTAAATTATGCAATTTGCGTTGCACATAGACGGTGATACAGAAGGTTAAGAGCATGCTGGCGTCTTAGAGTTTTCGTTGGTAGTTCAATTACGATTACCGAATTTTCTTGACCGGACCTTCTTAAGCAGCGTTTTATAGCCGAACTTATTTCTTGAAAAGAAGGGCAGGATAAACAGGACATTACTATCGCTAGAGTTGTCGTTTGGGGCACGGCATTTTTTCTACACATACCCAAACTACAGTTTTGTAGCCATTAGAAATGGCTATTTGCCGTGCCAAGTTCCGGGACTCCTCTCTCTGCTCTCTTCTCGTATACACGTTGGTTGCCGTTCGAAACATGTTTCTTATAATCGTCTCTTTTGTGTGTGATGGGTGAGAAGAAAGGCAATGAACGAGTATGTTTTTACAACTTAGCTTTTAGTACCACTTCATAATGTATCCATTTTCTGATAGGATAATTTGCACGTTCAGAAATGGACGCCAGTTTTCATTCGATTTCTCTCGTGTGAACTTCTGATTGTTCATTCTGTAACTCAAAACATTTGTCCATTCCCTTTTGCGTTGAGAAAATGACAAAGCAGTCATCTTTACATCTACAGTAGAGTAATGGCTGGAGATCAGTTACTAGTGCTTCCATTTTAGACAGAAATTCGATGACAAAGCTTAGTGCCAGTCGTTGTCGCATTGCCAGCACTCACATTTGTGCGTAATACGTCCCGGACCATCTGAAGATTAAGCAGTTCAGGCACTCATTTAAGAGTGTCATCAACTGCTGAATCGAGAAGCCGTACATGTTTATTCCTCTTTCGTGTTCTATAAGAAGCTCGAAGATGGCATGCATAGCGGAGTGATTCGACACGTTTGTATAGAGGGCGGTGACGTCGAAAGACTCCATCACGTAAGCGCTGTTGGGACGCGCGTTACGTAGATGGTCCAGGAACATTTAAATATTCATTAGATGGGCTGGGATGTGTTTTAACAACTGGGTGAAAAATAGGGTTATAAACTACGCTATCCTACCCGTTGGTCCGTCTACACAGCTAATAATACGTCTAACCTTAAATGACGATTGATCAGTAGACACAATAACATCAATGGAGTTTGAGTGAGGACGGACCAATCACTTATGAGTTTTGACAAGTACAAGACGGACATGTTGGTAAGTCAACTTTGTATTGAGAGATAACTAATGGTTTTAACCCAGCCACTTTTGCCATTTTAACCCATTCGTGGTTTAATTTTCCGTATTGACTTTTAAATTCTTTTTCAGACGAATGACAATGAAGAGAAGTATCTTCAAGATGCTTTTTCGTTATCTCAACATCTCTAACTCTCTGATGAGGAATTGCAACAAACACTCCACCCTTATCACTAACGGATAGTCTTGTGGCTATCAAGCGTATCAGCTATTGTACCTTCCGCATGCCACATTTCTGGACTTCTGTGAGGTTGGAGCAATATCAACGCTATCAGTCAAGTGGCTTCAAACACTTTGCATTTTGCGTCATCGTCAGGACTACAATACAGCTTTATTTCTCAAGAGCGCCTATTCGCTAGTGTTTAAAGCATGCAATATGGAGCTCGTCTTTTCAAGCAATGGTTAATGATTCGATGAATGCTACTACGCTGTTAACGAAACCACAATGCATACATGATGCACAAGGAATGGATGCTGTCGCGCGTGGAACGGCCCACGAGCAGCATGTGATCAAAGCAGTGAATTTGTCAAAGAAATGTCAGAAAAAGTTTGGAGACAAATCGCGTGCAAAGCTGTACTCTTGAACAAGAAGTAAGTAGTGACACCTTCCTCTATTCTCGTGTTTCCACCTTTTACAGATGATCCACCTACTAGTATCGAAAGCTGACACAGCAATTCTCAAGGAGCTAACTGAAGTAGCAATGCAGCGACAGAGCATGGAGCGTTTTACCACTGAATAGTATACCTTTGTCGTCCTAATCAAATAATGATATCCAATAAGGCATGGCGAGCAGATTTATGGGAGCGTTTTGTTATACTCTTATCGATTCATTTTTTATAAGACCCGGTTTGAAATTCTCTGAGGCACATGCAGTGAGATCCAGAGTGTCGTGGTTTATTAACGAATAGAACAGGAGAAAGCTTTTGTGAAGAACGACTTCACTCCTTCGACAGTGTGAGTGAGCCGAACGCCTGTCACTTTGGTAACACAGAAATGAATATGGACTCACTCAGCCATTTTCGTCGTTTACTATTTTCTTGTAGAACAAAGCAGAGATCACGATATATTTACCTTTAGATCTTTTTTCTCTCTGATTCTAAAAATAATGCAATGATCGATACCTTCGAGCTCTAGATGCCTTTTGAAGAAAGGAAAACTCACCGCACATGAAAAGCTGATCCTAAGAACCACCTCCCGCAGTTGCTATACCTCAAATGAAGCAAACTGAACATTTCGTTATAAGTGGCCATTGTTTACGAAAATAACACAGATATCGTAGCACACAGAGGCATCAAACAGATCTACTGCTGCAAAGCGGTCATCCGTTTCGATTTACGACGAAACAGCGACATTGTCTTCATGTACTGAGATGAATGGAATGAAATCTCTTATGTACTAGGAGATTGGTGTATACGGGTGGACTTTCGCCCTGAAAATTTGTAACGTACGAATGCGTCGTGATCACGTTGCCCAATGCTGGTGCACGTATCACCTGTAGTCCCGTTGACCGTCGAGTGACTCGAGCGGGCGCCAGTAAATCTCCCATTTATCTCTGTCAAGTGTAAGAGTAGCCCAGTGGGTTCTGCTCGCTCTAGGGACTCGTCGACCATCATATCTTTTTCTAAGGCTCTTTGTGAAGAACTCTGAGCATCGGGTCGGTGGTCTTCTTGCGGTACGTTTAACATCCCGAGGAATCCAGTCACTAACGACTCTTGTTCATCGGTTGTCATTCATACGCATTACGTGTCCGGCCCACCTTATCTTCGACTGTTTGACGTACGGAACGGCATCTTCGACTACTGATCGTCGATGCATATTGGAGCTTCGGATCTCATCCCTTACTTGTGTGAAACGGGATACTCCTATAGTCCTTTCGACAGCGCGTTCGATAACGCTGAGTGGTCTTTCACGCTGCTTACGCAGCGACCTGGTTTCTGACGCATAGGTTAGGGCAGGAAGTACTGATGAGTCGAAGAGGTGGGCACGGTGTCTGGTGTTCTTTGTTTTCTCCACTACATCCTCGATGCTCTTGAAAGCTCCCCAAGCCGCTCGTTTTTTTCTGCTCAGCTCTGGAGCTAGGTCGTCCATCAAATTGATTTCCCGACCTAGATAGATATAACTGGAGCATTCGGAGATATTTGTTTCGTTGAGCGTGAATGAGGCATACGGCACCAATCCGCTCTTCATGAACATCGTTTTTGTGAAATTTAGTCGAAGACCAATCTTTCCACAGGCTTTATCAAAGTCGTCAAGCATACGATCCACTTTGCTAATGTTTGGTGTTATAAGGACGATGTCATCAACAAGACGAAGATGGTGTGACTGCCGGCCATCGATTTTCACTACCATTATCCATTCCAATGTTCTGGAGTGTGGCGGTAAATAATTTTGGCGAGATGGTATCGCCTTGCCTGACTCCTTTTTTGACGTCAATGTTAATATCGTTGTAGAATGGTGATATCTTGGTTGTGAAATTTTTATACAGTTCACGAAGAAGCTTTATGTACTGAGAAGCGACTCGTTGGCTATCAAGGGCTTCCAAGACTGCTTCTATCTCGACTGAATAAAAGGTCTTCTGTAAATCGATGAAAGTGAGACAGAGCGGTCTTTTGCACTCTCGCTATACTTCAGTGAGCCGTGTTACCGTGTGGATGTGGTCCATCGTACTAAATCCTTTTCAAAACCCTGCTTGCTCACATGGCTGTCTTTCCTGTAGTGTTCTGTGAATCCTGTTTAGGATGAGTCGAGTGGGAAGTTTGTAGACGACAAACAGTAAGCAGATTGGGCGATAGTTTCCGATGTCGTGTAGGTAACCCTTCTTGAACAATAACACGGTCCTGCTGGTCTTCCACTGAGTAGGGACCTTGCATTCGGACAGGCAACATGTGAAGAGCCGAGCCAGTGTGTTTACGAGGACTTGCAGAACGTTCTTCAGGTGTTCTGGGCTTATCTTGTCCGGACCTGGTGCTGATCGATTTTACACCGACGAAGTGGCATGCTGGATTTCGGAAGGGAGAACCAGTGGTACAACATATCCATCTTCCTTTATTTCATATGACGGAAGCTGGACGTATCTATCGAAGAGATCCGAGTAGTATTCGTAAATGATTTTCTCGATTGCCTTTCTGGACGCTGTAACTGTTCCGTCTGGGCGTCGGAGCGCAATCATTTTGGTCTTGTAATTGGCGAAGCTTCGGTGGGCTTTGCGAATGCTTTTCCCAGCCTCTGCAACTTGGACCATTACTGCTGCTCTTCTCTTTCTAAGATCTTCTTTTATCGCCTGTCTGCATTGTTTCGCAAGCTCGGACGTTAGTTGGCGGTTGTCTGCAGCTCGTGCGATTCCACGCTGGCGTATCAGCTCGAGTGATTCTGGAGACAGACGTCTGTTGTTGACTTTTGAGCTCTCAGCTTTCATATCGCTAACGTGAACATGTTGAATAAACCGATCGCATTCTTCGTCGATATTATCGACAACGGCATCTTCCCAACAGCCGACTAATGAATTGAATAAGTCCCAGTTTGCAGTGGTTATCGAACTTCGGTTTTGTAATTTTGCTCCTTTTTCTCCTTGCTTGTCTTGAGCGAAGGAGACGATGGTCTGATCCCGCGTAGAATTTTGAGACAACAGCGACATTTGTTAGGCAAAACCTTCTATTTACTATGATGTGGTCTATTTCGTTATGGTACTCTCCGTTGGGAGACTCCCTCGTCCAGCGTTGAGGGTGGGGCTTCAGGAATTGCGAGTTACTATGGATGGTCTTGGTCGCCATGATAAACCCATATAGCCGCTCACCCTGTTTGTCCCATTCTAAGCCGTGATTCCCAATGTGGCGTTATTCGAATCTTCTTCTTGGTCCCATCTTGGCCTTGAAATCTCGAACAATGACCTTGAAGAATGTATGGTCTTCTCTGTAGAACTTCTTCAGGTACATGTAGAACGCTTCGATTTCTTTTTCGTCATAATTTGATGTCGGCGCTTAAGCGACGAAGATTGTCAAAGCCGGAATTGATCCACGTCTTTTTAATTGTAAACGTCCGATTCGGGTTGTAGGTTGTTCGAATGAATCGATGTTCATGGACAAACTCGTGTTGACGAGAACGCCAACGCCACCGACTCCTCTACTGTTGCATGTTCCTAAGAACAGTTCTTCTCCGGTTTCATAGACGGCGTTGAATGTGTGGCGTTTTCTCGTCTCGGCCAGGCCGATGACGTCGTAGCTTATCCTTCTTGCTTGCATGAGCAAGTCTTCTATCGAGGACTCGGATGCAAGTGTACGTGCATTGTAGGTGCAGATCGTCGCCATAGTTCTTCGTGATCCAGGCAGCTTCCATTGGCCCTGAGATTTCAACAGCCTCTCCGTACTCGTCCTACCAAATGCTGGGAAATTGGAGACCCTTTTGAGATCAGGAGAATGAGGTTCGTTTTTTTAACACAGTAAAACTGCGTTTAGCATTTTTGATACCCACGTATAGCTTGCTGGGCTCTGAACGTGGGGCTGGGTATACTCACGGGTAGCTTGCCAGGCTCTCCCAGAGTGGACATGTAGCTTAGTTGTTGGAGACATCTCCTAACCGCCTCCCATATACTTCCCTGTTACTCGATTGCAGGCTTTTAGCCGAGTTGACTTGTAGAATACAATCTGCATAAACTTAAACGCACCCACACGCGTGCATGAATACGTCCCGTAAATGCGGAAAGTATGAGCCAAATCGGCGCAGGAGAAACAGGGAATCCATCGCCTGAATTCACCTGCGTCTGAGCGAAGTAAAGGTCGTTTTTGTTCCACGATTAATCCCCTATCCGCCACCTGGGGACGCGCCACGTAGCCTCGCGACTAACCGGCTCGAGATCCCTCATATGAGGGAGATCGGGAAGAGGACATATGCACTGGTTGAGGAAAGCTTTCAAGCTCTCAGCTTGTTGAGGACACCAGCACCTTTTCGACGCGCATTAATGACGACGGTTGTGTTGCACTATCACATCTCAGGCATTGGAGAGGTCAATGTCGAAGAAACAGGAACTAATCCAAGCGAACAAGTAAGGAAATGAGCAAGCTAACAATTTGAAGTACAAAACGATTCCACTTTAGACGTGAACGCAAACGGACCATTCCTGAATTTTGTGATCAATTAAGTACCATAAAAGGACACTATCGTAACGACGGTAATCACTATACCCAATCTTAACTCTTTTACTTACTGCCTTTTTCTTCTTAATGGCAGGTTATGTTGCGAAGTATAACTCGTATGAAATGCTAAGATATAGAAGTAGCTGAGATACGCGCGAAGCGAAGGACCCGGATGGTGTAGTGGTGAAGTGCGCTGCTCCCCGGTAAGGACAACAGAGCGTGTTCGTTCTCGACTGCATACACCTGTGGTCCGGAGTTTTGCAAATATCTCAGCATTTCATACGAGTTATACTATACCCAATGTTCACAGTGAAATCACGTAGTCACCAGCTGGCAACAGCATCGCTATTCTCGTATGGGTTTTAAGTCATCGTTATTTTTCAAAAACGACCGAGACATTGACCATCATCTAACGGGCGTGCTTGTCGTATGCGGTAAAAGAACGACCTGTATGTCCTCGTACGTGGTGGTGCCTCAGATCAACAGAGTTCCAAGCGCTTCATCATAGGTCACTGCCCTCATTGAGCAGTATGTCCTAACGGTAAGTTTTTAACCTTTTTATTTGCTGCCTACTTTAATTTTTTAACGGCAAGGTATCATGTGAAACGCAACTAAGATGATGCTGAGAAATTTGCAAAACTCCGGACCGCAGGTGTCTGCGGTGGGGAACGAACGCGCTGTTGTCCTTTCCGGGGAGCAACGCGCTCACCACAGTCTCGTTGACGGGTGATTGCTGTTGGTGCAGATAAATAGAGCTAGCTGAGAGATAGGAGTAACGAAGGATCCGCATGGTATTTAAGTCCTGAATTCCAGCAACGATTAGTTCCACACTGCACACGGGAATCCGATGATTCTTGCGCTCTAAAACATGGAGATTTTCACCAAACCACCAACGAAACTGATAAACTAATGAATTAAAATTATAAAATAATCACCTGCGGCTGTTTCCGATAATGGAAATGGGAAAGTTTTAACGATCTATGCCACATCAACTGAGCGGAAAAAATAACGTTAACACAAAATAGTTCCCTTTTTTTCC